TTGATCAATGCATCGAGGTAGTCAAATTGGTACTGGAATTACAGTAAACGTTGCAGATCTTTGAAGTTGAACATAAGCCCACCTGGGTGAGATACTTAAACGTTAAGTGAGTATTTTCCGCCAAAACATCAGCAGCCAGATCGTAATACTAAACAAATCGATGTGTGGGAAAGTGGATATAAAAAATAACTGAATAGCGCGTTCGTCTTCGCTTACCTCATATTTGCAATACAGCAAAAGCAGATTGGCGAAAGTTTCAGGTGGAAACGGATTCTGACTCAAAAGATACTGTAATTTTGCAAATCCATCGCTCGGATCGGTGTCGATTCCTTAAACGGGCAGATTACTTGCATATAGGGTTGTAGTTTCAAAAATAAAATTTAACTATTCTTCTATTTAAGATCTCTAGCGAAAAAACTTAAAAATGAGACCGCCTGCGTAATATTTTTATGTACCTCCGTGATATGCCTGTACAGATTTTTCCTTGGAGCACATTTGGTTTTACTTTTTGATATTGCCTCGACGAATTCATTGAGAGCAAAGAAAACTATAATTTTTCTCGAAAAATCTCTATAAAACGTAGATGACAATCAAACGACTTTTATGGACAATCGATCAAAGGAAAAAAAGAAAAAGAAACATCATATGATCCTACCTATAAGTGCCTGATTGTGCAATGTCACAGCATCCAACTCCTCTTCACTACGTGGTGGCATATCAGTCAAAGCCTCATTTGCTGCGGTGTCTAAATGGACCCTCGTGATTATCAAAAGCTGTGAAATTCTTAGTGCAAGCTCACAATTTTTCAGCTTGTACTCCACAGCGAATTTCAGGTTCAGAGCCTCAACGAGTGAAGTTTCATGGAGCTTCATGGTATTACCAACCGAACGCAGATCCATACCTTCGGTCACCATTCCAACACCAAGTTCTGCAAAGACCACATAAATTAAGAGTAATGTGAGAATTTTCCATTTCAAAATCTTCTACTTGGAAAATCATTAACAAATTCAGCAAGCAGTAGAGAAGCAACGAGTATAGGAAAAATTTCCTGACCAGGATGATCTTTGATTCCGCGATCCACAATATCATTGATGAACTTCAAAGCTTGAGAGTACTCCTTTTTCCTGTAGTGGCAAAGTGCGATGGCGTATGCAAGTTCAGGCTGTAAATAAATCAAAGCTGTTCCTGTTTGTATTAAAATGAGAATTTGAAATTTTGAGAAATTCAGGATTTTTGAGTTACTTACCTGATATCCCATGACAGAGCTGGCATTGTTGAAGCGTTCTAGAGCCTTGTCATAATCACCATCCTAGAAAAATTAGGCTTTGTTTTTTCGATAAGAGGGACCTTTTGTATTATTCAGCCCTTCCACAGCCGCAGCTGAAAGGTGACTGGTTTTGTTTTCCACTTCTTGGATATTCCAATTTTTATGGCTATTTTAATGGAACAGAAAAACCAAAATTTTTTGAGTCACAAACGAATAAAAGACTGTGAGGAAAAGCTCTATTTTAAGCAATCTGAATCAAATCACCTTATAGTCCAGACAAGCTAAATTCATTTCCGTATCTGGGTCATCGGCTGGATATTGTTCCACAAGAATTCGCGCATTATTTAGATCTTCTTCACGGTACTTGATTGCCGATTCAAGTTTGATGACGTCACCAAGCAAGCTTTGCTCTTCGATCTGTAAAAATAAGCTAACTAATAACTGATAGTAGTACCATACTAATAGCTAATAACTGCAGATAAGGAAAGCTGGACACAGCCAGCTGTCGCCAACATCTTGCTTACACAAGAAATATAGAGTAGAATTTTACGCTAGAATTTTATGAAAGCGTAAAACTTACCGTGGAAACTATCTGTAAGGCTTCCGGTAGCATGAAAGCATTGTACAAGGCTTGGGCATGATAAAGTTTGTACTCAGGAAAGTTTGGGAATAGATCGGCCAGTTGCGCATATGCGTCGACAGCGTTTATATAGTCCTGAATATATCAAAATTAGAGAAAAATGTATGAGATACTGTAAGCTTAAGGTTTTCACCTTCACAACTCTTTTTATACAAAGTCAAAATGACACTCACTTGGCAGTAATAGTAGCAATAACCCAGTAAGGTCAGTGCTGCACGGTTCTGAAAATAATGATTGAAATAAGAATGTTAATCATTGGAACAGGTCTTTTGCACCAAAGCTTTTTTTAAATCATAATTTTTTCAGATTCAGTAATTTCATTCTCGAGGTTGAATCTAATGCGCTCAAAAAGTTTCTATGACATGGCAATAAAAACTGTTATGCAAACACAAAAGTGACATTTTTTAAATACTGGCTGCTAATGATGCTCTAAAGTGTGGCGATTTTTAATTCACCCTTGATGTATCTATTATTTAGTCTTTCTTTTTGCACCAAGTCTAGTAAGAATTGTATGTTTCCGCAAAAATTAATATTCCAAACTTCTTTCTTCCACTGTTGTTTTGTTCAAAATAGTTTTTATATTTAATCGAATAAAATGCAAGGTGTATCAAATTCAACTAAAAAGCATTTCTGTAGATGAAAACATTTGCAGACCAGTTTCAAAAAAATGAATGATTTTTTCAGAATGTGGTGAAAGGTTTGAGTTCCAACTGCGTGAAGTCAGAAAATAAGGCAAATTTGGAAAAGAGCAGCTTTAACTTACATTGGGAGTCCTCTGCAGTTCATACTGAAGTACACGTATTGCTTCCGGGTATTTTCCTTCTTTTATCTGCAAAATCATAATTGTCAAAAGTCAAGGTACTTGAGAAAA